CTTCTCATTCCTTGAAGGAGTTTTTGTTGCTGCACTCTGAATTGCATCATTTGTCTCATATTAACATTAGCTTTAATGTTTACAAGGTAGTCCCAAATGTTATAAGGTTCAATATTATCCAAAAGTAATAGTCTTCTAGGTATTCTCTTCCTAGGTTTAGTAGTATTATTTACTACTATTTGGGGTATTTGTTCAATTATCTTTATTAATTCATTAATTGTTTGAGATCAAATTCGTCTGGTATTAGTTTCTCTTTGCGATTCAGATCTTTTCCTCTTAATTGCTGGGAAGACTTCTTTTTCAAGCATATTTACTTCCTTTCTATTTTGATCTCCATTTCTAGTTCTCTAGTTATCTTGTGATAAAACTTTTCTGAGAGACATCGTCTGGCTATATGACCTTTTTCTTCACATCTGAAACAGATTAACTTCTTTCTTGGTTTGCCTTTAGGATTGTAACTTTTTCTTTCAACTGGATTAGTAATTAATGCGGCTATAATATTTACTTGATTTAGAGTTATTTATTCAAATTGTTTAGACAATTTTTCAATGTCATCTTCAACTTTTGGCTTGCTAAAATCGTGGTCTGTTGCATAATATTTTCCTGCTTCAACAGTTTTAGCCTGAGTAATAGCAGCATCTAAATCAGTTGAATTTTGAATTGCAACTAAAGTTGCTAATTCCTTATTTAATTCACTTAAGAACATTCGTACTTTAAAGGCATCTGAAATTCCTCCTGCATCTACTTTATTTGCTAACTTCTTAAATCTAGATGCATAGGATTCAATCCTTTCATTTCCTTATTTCATATTCATTAATTTATATTGTCATCTATGTAATTTTTCTTGCGATGAGAAGCGTGTTAAGAATTTTTCTCTAAATCCTGTGTTTGCATCTCCATCCCATCTTTTAATTATAGTGCTTACTAGATTATACCAGTCAGCTGGTTCTTCCCTTAACATTCCTGCTGCAATTGCTACTCTTCTATTATCTGGCTATCCATTAGCTTCTTTTGCTCTTAAAAACATTTCAATCCATTTTTGAGCGTCTTTGCTATCTTTTTCATAAAAAGGGTCAACTTTTACAATAGAATTTTCTGCTGCAGATGATGCTGGGATATTAATACCATTAAATCCATTGGTCATACTAGTTGTAATTTACGTTATCAATGCATTGAGTTGTTCTACTATTATAGCCATGTTTGCAAGATTTGATAAAGGGGTTTCTCCATAAGTGAAGTGATTAGTGTTATATGAGGTGATAAGAATATGTTGATATATTACTTCTGATTCAAAGTCACACGTGAATTTAAGGCTAAATACTAAAGAGATTGCTGCTTTTGCTGCTTGTTCAGTATCAAGACTACGAGGATTATTAACGTCAAAATACTGTCCTATTTTTTCAAAGAATTGTTCACTTAGAGATGAATAAGTATATACATGATATTGTTAGTAAATTCACTGATAGAATCTTTGAAATTGAACACTTGGGTTTCCAGATGATCGATGATAAATTTTACAAGTCTTATCAAAGGATTTTATGAGGTATGTCTGTCTTAAATATTTGAAGTGATCGTCTGAGTATTGTTTCCTTATTTTACTATATAGGTTACAATTCATATACTAGTAAAAATCTCTAAGTTGATTCAGTAAATCTCTTCTAATTTCTAATAGGTTATTCCTGTCTTTATATAGGTCGAATAAGTAATTATTGAGAGCTTTTAATCCTTTCTTGACTTCCTATTTGACTAAATATATTACGTCAAGTAATAATTTGCTTTTTTTATGAGTAACTAATCCTTTAATTCCTCCTCTAATGTCAGGATAGATATAGATATAGCTGAGAAGTTTAGTGAGGGTATTTAATTATTGTTGCAATTCTCTAATTACTAGAAGGATTTCAATGTCGATTTCTTCTAAGTGGTTAGTTGTATTATTGATATTCTTTTCTAATCTTAACAATCCTTGAATATTCAAATAAATTGTACTGAATTATTATTTCTGATCCTTATAAGGAGCACTAAAATGTTACATTAGGTTTTGTAACTTCAAATAAAATCTCAAAAGAGGTAAATAAAATTAAGACAATTACTCAAGGAATCATGGGTGAGGATTCACAATAACGTCAAAGAATTATTCTCAATAATAAACACGTGAAATAAAAACAAAATAAATACAAAGATAATATAATATATAAGTTTAGTATCTAAATGATTGATATCTTGTCAGTGCTGAGACTCAAAAAAAATACAGAAATATTTATACATATTGAATAAATAATAAAATAACTAAACTAAATATATCGAAGGAAATAAGTTGCCATTTTGCTAGGCAATAAAGTTGTCGTATCAATAAAATTGCTAGATTTGCAGGTAATTAAATAGACATCTATGATCTTTGTGATTATCAAAAGCAATAAAATTGACATTTAAGGATTTACATAATTAATCGATGGCAATAAAATGGATAAAATAATCTTCATAGAAGATCTATATAGCAATAAAATTAATTTCCTATTCTATTAATTAAATCTATCTAAAATTTTACCCGTTACAGCATCAATTTTTGTGATAGTATTGACTTTTCAATAATTAACAAATAATCTTTTTTCGCTTCCTTTCTTTCTTACAATTATGATGAGTGAAGCCCATGGACTATATGAAAGTCGAATTATACCATTATCTTCTATTTTCTTTAGTTCTTGATTCAAAAATCTGGTATTTTCAAGGTTTTTTCAATATGGTTTTTGAGTAATTGGCATAGCCGTTCCAGTATAAATATGATGCTTAATTTCTGTTGTTCGTCCTATCTCAGTTTGATTTCTAGCATAAATGTCATAATATTCTCCCAAAAGATTCATAAAAGTCTGCTGTTGGTAGTAATCCAAAGGTCCTAGTTACTTCAAGTAAGTTAGTTAAATAAGTTTTAATAGTGTATCCTGCAATTTTGACAAAATAAGCAGCTGAATTGTCTTCTGACTGTTCTTCTAATTCTTCATTATTATCAGTATCCTCTTCAGATTGTATAGGAGAGTATTGGTCAAACCACAGGTTAAATCCTAATTCATCATCCAATTCTGATTCTTCTGAGTCAATATTATCAGATAAGTAAATTGGATACTCTTCTAAATATTTATCCTCATATTCTTCACTTTCGTATTCATTCTTAACTTCTTGAATTACAACTTTAGCTGTTTTAGTAAAAGCAATAGGAATTTTTATAGTAATTTCATCTCATTTAATAATAAGGAAGGATTATTTCTAACTCATAGTAGCATTAGTTATTCTGAGCCAATCATTTCTAAGTATAAGGATATCATCTCTAGATTTAAGCACTTGAAAAAAGATAGTACATTAATTTTTCTAATCTTTACTAATACATATTCAATGATTTTGAAAGAACGAGTTCTTGCACTATTTGCTGTTACTACTATCATTTTCGAAAGTTGACTTATTTTATATTCCAATTTTTTTACTAAGGCTTTGGTCATGATACTGGTAGTAGCTCTATTATCAATAATTGCAGTTTAAGCTTTTTGTCTAACTCTTAAAGTACACTTTGCAGCAGAGGTTGGTTTATCATCACTTTCCATTAGGTTAGCTTTCTTAGTTTCATCAGTAGCTCTTTTCCTTAAACATCTGACAGCTTGAGTTAAATCAGAATGATATTTAGGAATAGCATGTGCGACCTGTCTCACTGATAATCCGCATGGTAAATTTTGTAAATAAGTAGAGACATTAAATTCGGTTAGTTGTTCAATAGGGCAGGTAACAACCTTCTTTTAGAGGCCTTTAATGCTTTTTCGATTCTAACTGGCTCAACTACAAGTTCTGGTGTTGATTCTTCTATGTCTACTTCTTCGACAATTATTTTAACTTTAGATGGATTTTGAAACCTTGCTGATCCTCTTTTGTTTTTTAATACAGCATTCTTTGGGTAAGGTCCAGATCTAGTATTTAGGTAGACTTCATATTCATCTTCCTTATAATATTCCTCTGAAGTATATTCTTCATCATTGTATTCTTTTTCATAGTATTGGTCAGCTAGATGTACATCTCTAGTATCATTATAATGAGGTCTTCTATCAGTTCTTCTTAGTTGTTAGCGAGGTTGAGGGCAGTTTCTAGCTATGTGTTCTTCTCTGTTACAATTGTAACAAGTCATAGAAGATATATTTTGTCTGGGTCTCCTAGTAGCATTGTTATAAGTTCACTCTATTCATCTTCTTAGGGGTTGTTGAGGTTGAGCTAATAAAGCAGTTGTTGAAATTAGTATAATTGATAGATAGCTGTTCTAATTTTTTTGTAAGTTCATCCATTTCAATATTGGTAACCATATTTTTAGGAGTAGAAGCTATAGTAATACTAATATCTTTAAGGGCTTTTTCAGAAGTGAAATTATATCCAATTTCAATAGTTCGTGTAGAGTTTACAGTAGCATCTAAATCTGCTAGATTTTGTGAGTAGACTAATGGAGTGTAAGCAGGATTTAGTCCCATAAGAAACATCCTTTTCTTTTGTGTATTATTTGTTAATCCTACACGAGTCACTAATTTCTTAAATTTATTAGCATAGGAATCTACAGATTCATGTATTTGTTGTCGCAGAGAAGTCAGTTCCTGGTACTATTGATTTTTTTTGGGTTCGCTAATAAATGGGCTTCAAATAAATCTACAAAGATTTGATCACCATTTGATCCATTGTTTCAATTGTCTCCTATGGCAGTAGTAGCACTATCAAACTAGTTAGCTGCTGCGCCCTTAAGGTGTCTTCTAGCAAGGGCCTTCTTTCGTATTTCAGTGATTTATCTATTAGTGATTGTAGCTCTTTCAAACACAGTGAACCACTCTACAGGATCTTCATTTTCAGCTCCTGCAAAAATAGTCAATTTTAATAGTGAATCTTTCTCCACTTTGGACTCTGCGAAGTCATTCACTGATATCTGTCAAGTATTATCCATCATTTTCAAAAATCTCTCAAAAAATAACTCGTTATTTTCTCTCCTATGGCCATTATTTCAATTTCAATTGAGGGTGAATTATGGAGTGAGTTTGATAAGCTAGATGCAGAAGGTATTGAAGAAGCAATAAGTCGTAATAATCAGCGATTTGCTATAGGTCTTACTAGGTCCTGTTCTAAAATTTCAGTGTATACCCTTGAAGAAATAGAAAAGTAATAGGTTGTTAAAAACAATTTGTTTGAAAGGATATGTCTTGTATATATAAATATATTACGTCCGTTGAAAAAGATCGAACAAGATATTGAATACTAGAAAGAAGCTGGTAGATAACTCTTATTAGACAAGAGTTACGATGTTTAGATTTGGGGATACTACTAAGTTGTTCAAAAAAGTTAAAGGTAATAATAGTTCTTAAGGTAAAAGTGTCTGCTTGATATTCATGTTTAATCAGTTTCAGAAATTTTTAAAGCTATAGAAAGGGTTTCGAATGAAGGGGTGGATAACACCAATTACAATTTTAAGAAAGAGATAATAAATATAATAGTAAAAGTAAATATAACTATGATAATAAAGATAGTAAATAAAATAATGATAA